CTGTCCAGGCGGGGCAGGAAGCCCAGATGCTCCTTGTGCTCCTCCGACAGCACCAGCAACATCCTACCCGCCCGCGGCCGTTTCCCCGCTTCCTGTCAGCTGCAGGCCCCGGGCGGGCTCTGAGGCGGCCTTGCAGAGCGCGGCGATTGGCTGCTCTGGACCCGGCGGGCGGAGCCAGGGGCCAGAGGCGTGGCCTGCGCGCGCCCTTGTGTTTCCCGGGACGCCCCGCGCCGCTGGTGCTGGGCAACGGGGGGAGCCAGTCAGCGCGCGCGTGGGCGGGGCTGGGATTCGAACAGGGGCAGTTCTCTGCTAAGCCCTGGTTAAAAGTATAAAAGTAAAGCTGATTATTAGTTGTTTTTGAAAAATAAAATCTCCGTCTTTTTGTGTGCCTCTGTTTTCAGTGCACGGGTTGGAAACGTTATGAAAACGTCAGAATGGGAGGTGTCGTCAGCCACTAGGCAAACATATCCCATGGTAAGAGTGGCTTACCTGCCCTTTATGTCTGAAGGAGTGAGAAGGGAAGGGATGAACTACCCAGGGTGCCACACAGACTCATTGTTCTTTCTCCTTCCCACAGAAATAACTGCCTCAAATATGATTTTAATCATTTTACATTGCAGGAAAGAAATTTAACCTGAAAGTGTTAATTGCATATCATGTTCAGAGATTTCCAGGAGTTAGACATGGAAATTACCTGTTAGGGCATCTAGTCCACCGGCCTTGCCAGTGCAGGAGGTTTCATTTTATGTAATTCAGGGCTGTCCAAGTTGCAAGTAGCTCAGGGCAACAGGCCCCGCCTCCTTGAACCACACACCAGGCAGATGACACACCCTGGGCACATATTGCAGGAGCTGCACGCTGAACCCCGACAGGCCCCTTGGCTAGGGACAGAAATTACATAAACTGGTATAAGCGACCGGAAACCTGTTCAAATCTGTAACAGAACTGAAGTTCAGTACATGTCAACTGCTTTCAAAATGGCCAAAACCAGTTTAAGATAAACCTAGATGGAAGTAGTATCAGACTTAACTGATTTAGGTTAAATTGGTTTATTGAACTTCTGTCCCAGATCCCTTCCATATTCAAGTTAACTCACAGACCCCCAGCATCTCAAGATGCTTTGCACCTTCCCTGCAAACCCTGCCTCACGGGGTGGGTGGGCTAGCCTTGGCCCAAGCTGTCTGCTCCTGCAGAGCAGGGAGGTGTGCTCTAGGTGCCCCCCCCCCCAGCTTCTGGGTGCATTTCCAGAATCAAAAGTGAACATCTGTTTACTTGCTTAATGGTTCAATCTACACAGCTTAGACTAACCTACAAAGATTTAATTGATTCAGCCTTGGGCTTTTTGCCCTTGAGGTATGAGGGATACCCTGCTGTATCCCAAAAGCCCCTCCCTCACTGCAAAGGTATGGTGTGCACCATGCGGCCCCTGTATCTTAAGATGGGTGGCAACTGCTGTGCTACACCGGTGCCTCTGCATTGCAGAGTCCCCCAGAGCTCCCCCAGCACTGGCTCCCTCTGCCCTGCAGGTGACACTGCTCTGCTCATCCCCTAAATGTGGGGGCATGCAACAGAAGCTGGAGGAGACAGAATATGCCCTGCGACTTTCACAGCAGCAGCAGGAGAGCAAAGGAGATGTGGCATCAGACTGGGAATAAGGGAAGCTACACATTAACCCCTCAGTGACATGCAGTCTGCAGACCACCAGTTGGACAGCCCTGGTGAAATATAGTTCTCTGTGTATGGGATGGTACATTGGTGATGCGTAGGGGGTGCACATGGGTGCACATCCACCCCCTGAGATTGGCAGTGCCTCCTGTGCAATTGGCCGATGCTGCCAGTGGCACCTGCAGGCAGTTGCCGCTCATCACCCCCCCCCCGCCGCTAACACTGCTGGCGGTGTCTGCAGGTGGTTGCCAATCACCGCTGGGTGCCACTGACAGCAGTGTCTGTAGGTGGTTGCCAACCGCTGGTCAGTGCTCGCCACCCCTCTCCCCGCCACCGCCGCCACCGTGGCCACCTGCGGGAGCTTCCCGCTCGTTGCTGCCATGCCCCCACCGCCGCCACCTCTGCTACCACCACCGCCCGCAGGCAGTCGCCATGCCCCGCTAGCCTCCAGGGGCACATGTCATTCCTGGGATGATATTTCCAATTTAGTCATGTGACAGTGTAGATGGTAGAGTATTTCATGGTAACTATGGTTCTCACACTGCTCATGCTAAAGTCAATTTCAAAATTCCCAAGGACTTCAGTGGGAGACAAAGCAACCTGTGTATCTGAGTACACTTTGCAGATGTAAGTAATACAATCTTAGAGTTGGGATAAAATCCAACTAACTCTTGCTCATTTAAATATGTTTTATTCTCTACAACGTTAGCTGATAGGAGTAAGTGGAATATCACTACAATTATGAGAAAGGCAAGTTAAGACTTTTTAAGCTTTTCAAATGCCAAGTAACTGGGCCAAAAAATAAAGACCAGTATCTTACATGTATTCACATGCATCGCACGTTGTATTAATTGAGTTCACTGAGACACCTGTGAAGCATTACTCACATGAGTAAGAATTCCTGCAAGTAATAGTTTTCAGTATTAGGACTTTAATTAATACATATTCTGGAGTCAAAAGAGAATGGGGGCATGTAAGTGAAACAAGATGGTTGGCAACTGAGACCTGGATAGAGAAAGACTCAGTAAAGCAGATGGATACAGGAAGGAGAGCTCCAGATGGCAGAAGCTGCAGAGAAGGCTTTAATGTGATTTAATTTTATCCAAAGTTATTTTGAAACTTTTAAAGATGATGAGTGGAAGGTCTTTCAAGTGGGAGATTCTTGCAAGTTCTTCTCATGCTTCTTAGCTCTAGACGAGGGGTTCCCAAACTGTGGTACATGTACCCCTGAGGAGATGCAAGAAATCTTGTGCGGGTATGCATAAGAAATTGTGTAACGGCGGATTTAATTTTCATTATAATAATTGGCATTTAAGGGGTTAAAATATAAAACATGCTGGTAGGAGTTTGCAGGCAGTTGGTAAATCTGGAAGGGGGTCCTCAGTACAAAAAAGTTTGGGAACCTCTGCTCTAGATGATCTAATTTTTACATCATGGACTGGTGCTACATAATGCTAAAAACAGACTTTTAATCTAGTTAACATTTTACTCAATTTTCAAACTATTTTTGTCCCATTACGATCTATTTTTATCTTCATTTTAGTCACACAGATCAAAACTACACAATGGTTTATCACACAACTACAGTAATGATTTATCTTTCTATAACACAGTACCATTATTAACTGTATCTTTGAAGCATTTCCATGGAAAAAATGGACTTACGGGTTTCTATTAAACAGGACATGATTGTAAGAAGATTCAAATATTCCAAAGTACAGATTCCAGGAAATATTAAGTCTGAAATCAGGCTTTATTCAGTTTACAGGTTTGCAGACACTCTTCTTAGCTAGGGTTCTTGCAATTTCCAGTTGCTGAAGCCATGGCTTCTCTTTAAATGCACTGCAAGACAGGTGACAGGATAAATTAACTTTTTCCTAATGTGTATTGAATCTCATCCTACACGTATACTGACTGGACTGGGCATTTTGCCCAAGTGAGGGATGCAGGATCAAGTTAGAACATGCAGTTCTTTTCACTAAGAGCCTGATTATCGCTATGTGCATAACTGATTTCCTAATTTGTGCATACAATTACTGTGATTGTATGTGTGCCAGTCAAGTCACTGCATGTGTGGATGGCTGGGTACAAACAAGCCAAGGGCAGCCTCCTGACTTGAGCATGTGCTAGAACTGCGCGCACAAATGGGGCATGCAGTTCAAAAAAACAGTTCAAAGCATATGGAGTTTAACAACAGTAAACAGTAAAGAACAAAAATCATAAATTTTATCCAGTGATAAACTATCTGTTTTACACATCTTTTGATCTGCCATATCCATTTATATATTGTGACGATGGTGATGGTAACAGCTGGGAGTCCCAGTCACAAAATATAATTAAAAGTATTTGTCATATTACATTATACCTTTCTGTTAAGCTGAATATGTGTATTGCTAAGCTATACTTACACTGCACTGTTTAATAATATTGACTTAAAAGAAGCAAACCATTTTCCATATACCATAAAGCTAATGTCTGGATAAGTTGATTTATTTGTACGATTTGTACCCCCCTGATTCAGTGACAGAACATGTCTGTCTGTGGCCCCGGTATACCTGTAATACCAATGAATTGGGTTCTTCAGCTATGTCTGGGATATGGGAAACAAACTTTATTCTCCTCGCTGGCTCCAGAGAGTTATCTAAGAAAACTGTACTTTCCCAGCTGGCATTGACTTTTTCCAAAAGACCTTTTGTGAGGAGTGACTACCAAGTATACATGGGGCGTACCTTTGTTTAGGATGAGACTTTTTTCATTGCACTGCAGCCGATGAAGGGGAAGGGGGCTTTTGAAGCCCTAGGAAGTGTACTGATGCACAGGACTTCCATGAAGATTAAGTCTGAAGGAAGAGCAGCAACTCATTCTGGGGTCGGGGGTGGGTGAACACCATTTTCACTGCTGCTAATAAGGATATCTGAGATCTTCTTCCTGTACTCTTACCACTGATTTTATCATGGGAAGGGGCTGAACTCATTACACAGCACCATATTACTGCTTGGGAAAGGAAATTACCAGAGCCTGATCCTCTAAGTTGCTGGACACCTTATAAGAGATACTGAGCAAACAAGGATGTTTGGCATATCTCACAAGGTGCACAAAAGTTTGCAAGATTGGGTCCAATTATCACTTAATAGAAATAGGCCGAACTTTAGCACTTGCTTTTTTTTCTTCACACTTTTTCTTATTTCAAGTAGCACTGGGGATCAGATAGATGATTTTTGGCTATAAAATTTTGATATTCTTCCTTCCACCTATTACTAATGACAGCCCACAATAATCTGCTTTTCCATACTTTTAAAGTTTCACCCTGCCTATATTCCCCAGAGTGAACAAAATTCTGTCCCTCTCTACACTTTATTCTTTAAAATTAAAAGGGAAAATACAGCACACCAAAAACAACCAACTTCTACTCTGGCAAAATCCCATTGGTTGAATCTCCTCTTTCTCACGTTAAAGTACTTAATTGAATAAGGAGTCCCCCCATATGCATATACTTAAGAACCTTTGAATCTGGGCCTCATGTGAAATTTGGGATTTGGACCAATATATAGGGAATTACCGGTATTTTTCTTTAACCTCTTCAATATTATTTACCTCTTTATTGTGCATATTTAAGTTTCTGGGACTGTATGGGACTTCCTATTCATAATCTACAGTGTTACCTAATGTTACAGTTGTTATATAAATATTCTACCAACCTTTCCTGCATCTCCCTGTTCATGCCACCAGTTTAAAGGGCACTGGCTAAGTGTAAGGACTGTTGTCAGGTAAAGATATTTTTTCTGTTATGTGAGTACACAAGACCAGAGTTGTCACTGAGGTGTACCTTGCTGTTACCACTAGGTGACAGTAATCCTTTGCAAAGATATTTTTGCAAAATTTTCTGCAAATACCTATTAACTTCTAAAGAAAGTTACCAGTCTGTAATTAAAGAACCATCAGGGTCTGGCTTTAATTTTACCCATGCCATACAGGAAATATAAATTTAAAACAACCTTATTTAGAGAAAACAGATAGTTTTGAATCACATTCTGCTTCTATTGGTTCATTTAGTTATGTTTCAAGAGTAGGGGTAAGCAGTATGTCCAATAATGTGAATATTATATTGTCAGCATCTAGATTGTAAGTACCATGGACAATACACAAAGAATGGTAATTTTCCCTTCAGTTTTTGGGTTTTTTTGCTTTACTATAATAAATTAGTCCAAAGTGTGTAAAATATGGATTTAAACATAGAGGAGATGCATAAAAAATAGATAGAAGGAAAAGAAAAGAGAAAATACATACCTGGCAACAGCTAAGTAGTAGATTGCATTCTGTCTTAGAGATCTCCCATTGTATTCTGAGAAAGACTCAAAAGAAGAGTTTAGAAGCAATTTAGCATGAGGTGTGGAATAGAATAAAGGAGGCCATGAATTCTGGAGCTTAGAAACTGGGGGCAAAGGAACTTTAGCTAAACATATATGTTGGTCCATAGTTTCATCCTTTGTAGGCTGAGCAACATTTTTCCTTTTCTTCTTCTTTTGCTGAAGTCTGCGTATATTAGAGAGTTTATTCACATTCTCCAAAGGAGGTAATTTGAGCTTTGTTAATTGTAGGTTGTTTTTTGTGTTTGTCAGGGGATATGACTCTCTCTCATGCTGAGTGTGATCAGATAGATTTGGTAACCTGTAGCCCTTGTTGGCTGTCTTCTTGACTGGGGACTTGGAAGTCATTTTGGGCTTTGTGAAGCCATCTACAGTAATTATGTCCCCAACTCGTGTTCTGAAGACTGTACCCGGGTTAAGCCGTTTCTTGGAAAGGATGTGACTCTGAGCTTGGAGAAGCCACTGCTTTAACTTAATGTAGATCTTCATGGGAAGTGAAAAATTAGGATAAGAAACTACTGACCAAATTTTGGTAACTAAATATAACACACAGTCCTTATGCATGTGTTTGATGCATATGTTCAGAGGAATTTGCCCTGTTGGGCTTTGGCATTCTAAGCACAACACAGTACAGTTGATGAAGGCCTTTAGCACCATTAGTTGGCCTGCTTCTGCAGCTGCGTGCACTGGGCACTTATTTATATCTGGGTGCTCTGTTTCCTGACACCACTCTCGGTAGGGGTGAACACCAACTGCTTCATTAGGTCTCACTCCCTGCTGCAGGATCCATGTTGCAAGTCCAAGGTGGCCAAAATGTGCTGCCATGTAAAGAGCCACTCTCTTTTGATAACTGAGGAATAGGGAGAAGAATAAATTTAGGGCCACAAATATCAGCAAAATTATATAGTTCAGAATTATGTATATTTTACTTTTAGATTGACAGCATAAAACATGGTAATTAAATATCCAGCCAGACCAGCTAGGATATGTTCAAGGTAAATTTGCTAATTTAGTGCTCTAATAAATTGATGAGGCAATATGCACTCCTCTGTATTTGTAATCTGTAGCTTTGTTAAAGAGGATTAGCTGTTGTTGATCATATATGTTAAGTCAAAATAGAGGCTGAAGTTGGTCTTGTGAGAGGATTTTAAAATGATCCAATGGAGGTACTCAAAACTGAGAAGGGCTATCAGAGGATCTGAAGGACAGATAGCTGAGTATTATGAGAAAGATTAAATTATACTCATAAAATGGGAGATAAAGACTGAAATACATATAAAAAGATTTGTCAAACTAATTCTTGTCTTTGTACTTGGTAAAGATAGTACCAAGATAGTAGAAATGATTTGCTATACAAAGTCACTGAACTAAGTATGCAATGTTTCATTTTTTTGTCATCACAAACTAGATGTGGAGTAATAATACCAGTAAGCCATTGTTCTGTGTACTGTAATTCACATATGATTTTCTGAAGTGTACTGCCTTTGATTAGTATGTTTCCACTGATTATAGAACTACTGTACACCAGCTAAATAACTCATTTTGGTCTCTCATGCGTATGTTGCTATATTTTATCCTATAGCATATTAATAAATAGTTCCTGAAAGTAGCACTATCCTATAATGAAGACATGATGTTTATCTTTAGGGAAGCCATTAAAATTGTATGCCACTTTATGCCATTTAAAATCCTAAATGTAAACAAACATATATATTTTTTTTAATTATTCTATTTATAATATTTATACTAAGCCAGTTCAAGCCATGAGGATCAGACCCCAGCTTATCACCATGCTGACTGGAATATTTTTTATACTACAAAAGTAATTCTGTCAGAGTCCCTTGGGTGATATTTAATTTTCTTGGTAACTCATTATACTGGATATTAAAGTCAAATGCCAGACAAAGCAAAGACATAGCCAACTTTTGAAAGTGGCGGTTAAAAAGGCAGGGAAGGATAAAATAGCACATTTTGCTACTGTACTTGAGGATTGGCTCTTCTCTGGATAGATGACGTTGGACTGTATGATTGTTTCCTAAGAGACATCCAGTCAGAAATTCTTTCCATCCATCCCATACATCCAGAAACAGTGTTGTGCCTGCCAACAGAGAGGTGCAATCGTTTAGTTTTGTTCCAGTGTTGGGTTTTTTTTTGCAGTTCATACATCTCTAAACTTCTCTGTTTGCAGCTAAAGAATATTTGCTTGCAGCCTACTGGCTGCAGTATATGTATGCCACAACCTTCTACAAGGCCACCCCTGTGAGCATGTTGTCTTCTAATGGCTGTGCAATGAAAGAGATCAACTCTTAACACTATGAACTTTGAAAAGTTACCAAACAGCTGAAAAAGTGTTTGTTTTGGCTGGTTTATGTCAGAACAGTTTGTTCAGTCTGTGACTGCATATGTGAGACTGATTTATTTGGTCTGTGAGAACTTGAATGTTGGGATCTTCCTTACACAAAACAAAAACGATCCATTTGATAGGGTTTTGAAGAACATTGGCAAGATCTTCATGGAATGGTGGCACAGTTAGAGCGGGCCAAAAGAAGCCTTTTGCATCTTATTTAGTGATTTGAGTTACTTTTCTTACTGGAGCGATTGCTTTTCAGTGCCAGCAGAGTTGTTACATTTGTAAATATACTTCAATGGAAAAATGCCTAAAGTTTGTCTTCCTGCTTAAATCAAAATAAATAAATAATAGGTTAGATACAGGCCTTGAGGCATGCTTCTAATAATTCAGTATAATTTGTTTTTCCCAGTCACCCAAAGTATGCCAGTATCCTGTAAAAGCTACTAGGTGGTGACGTTCTGCTGGTATTTCCTGTACTAAGAATTACTGCCATTGGAGGACATTATGGTATATGATAGATGCAGTTCTAACCTTTTCCTCTTGGGTGTAACATCCATTGTGTTTAGAAATAGGTCCAAAGTTAACATTGCAAATGTTATATATGCTGCAAGATATTCTTTAATCTTCAAGAACTGTTCCATGCAGATATCAAGGGCTGATTTTGAGTTAAACAAATCACAAAAGTCAGTGTTAAATCATAAGAGCATTCACATTCTTCACCCCAATACCTTATGTATTAGCCTGGAAGAATCAGGCATCAAGGCTCTAGAGCAGTGACACCCAAATTTCTGGCCCTGTGGGCCGGATGAGTGGTGCATGATTGGTCCACAGGCCAGATCCTGCATGGGGTTGGTCTACGGGTATAATCCAGCATGCCTGTTTGACCTGTGTGCCAGATCCAGCCAGGTGCTGACCCAGCCCTGCACACTGGATCCAGTCATGCACTGGCCCAACCCTGTGTGCCTGGATCTGACCACATGCTAGCCTGAAATGCGCACAGCTGACACGGTCTAGTGCACAGGCCCACGTCATTTGGCCCACAGGGCTCCTTGAAGGTCCAGAAATTTGGCAGCAGGGGAGCAGTAATTAACGTGTGTTTTGTGACATGCAAACCTGACCGGACCAGACCTGGCCCCTGGGCCAGAGGTTGAACACCCCTGCTGTAGAGTGTTCTGGCTCTGATTTTACACAGGTCTCCAGAGTTAATTTCAGATTCACCACCAAATGCCCGTGCACAAGACAGTATAATTCCTGATCAGATCATCCATTTTATGACCTCAGTGGTTCAGTCTCTGTCTGTGTGCCTTTGTCTGAATCCTGGGACTCTTTTCTCAAGTTTTCAAAGCAGTTCACAAATATATAGTCTTCTGGAGAATGTTTATTTTGTAATATCAAATACTATCAAAAACACTGCTAAATAATAGCTTAATTATCTCTCTTGGTTAAATATACACCTACAAACTAAACATTGCTCAAGTTTTTATTTGTTTGGACTATTTTACAGCCATTTCTTTTTTTGGCATTGTTGCAACATTGTGGTTTTGAAGCCAAATTAACTGCCCTCTGTATAATGATGAGACAGCAGTGTGAAGTAGATGTAAAAGTTACACCCATTATGCACTCACTTTCTACTGCTGTAAATTGTCTATCGAAGTGTAGGATCCAATTCTTCATTGCTCCAAGCCTGTATTTTATAACATACACTGTCCAACTGCTCAGTCAGAAGCTCTCTGTGGTATTACTTTGAGGTAAGACTATGTTAAGATACTGGTTCTCTCATTCCTTGAAGTCTCAGACCAGCAGAGACTCCTTTTGCTTGATGAAGGGTGACTGCACCCAAAAGCTTGCCAAGAACTTTTTTCCAACTATTCAGTTGGTCTAATAAAAGATATCACATCTACCCAAAGAACCTTGCCTGGTATATTTCAGACATTTATAAAAAAAATTGTATTTTCTGTTCAGGGTGAATGTAAACCCTACGCTAACCTACTGATTTTCAGAAATCAGATCAGTTACTGTGAGCTAAATTCGTCCTTTACAAAGGCACCAGTTCAGCAAGTTATTTTAACACATGCATAACTTTAAGCATGCAAGTAAGTCTCCTAGAGACTGTTCTGTCATTCTCCATGAAGGTCTTGCTAATGTGGAAGAAATTATTAGAGATAGGAATATATTTATTATAATCCAGAGTTCTAGCTGTCCTTTGTGATTAATTTCAATATTGTTATTTTATTTTTCCTACAGATGGGTACACCAAGGAACACAGAGGGTAAGTGCTGACACAGGGTAACATAGCAGCATGTTGGTAAAAACAGAAATAGAGCTTTGGAGAATTGGCTCCTAGTCAGCTGGTCTAACTGCTAGTGAACATGCATGTTCACATTGCCTCTCAAAAAACAAATCTTGCATAACTATGGATGTGATGTGTTCATTAGTCATGTCAATTGTTTAACCCTTTTTAAATCCTATTATAGTTTTGGCCTGAAAGATATTTGGTGAGTTTTGCAGAATAATTCCATGCTGCATTGTACATCCCATTTTTTTGATGCTATGAGAAATGGTACATAACGGTACTCTATTCCCCAGTTATGTATAATACTATTAAGTTCCCTCATTTCTCTCCTCTAAGCCAAATAGTCTCAGTGCTTTTAGTCTCCCGTTGTTGTCAGTTCTCTTCTGTTTATTTGATAGGGGTGACTGAAGATGAACCCAGCATTTCTCAAGTTCCACGTTTCTCTTTTCCTGCCATAATGAAAAAAGGTAGGCCCCATTTATGGGCTTCAAGAGCCTTTTCTTTTTTACAGTCTACTTACAAATCAACCATTGAATCCTTACAATATAAAGATCACTGTAGAATTAAAATTTACTGTAGCTAATAGACTAATTACATCTAGAGAATGAATACTAATCTGTCTTGCATGGTGTTAAGAGTAGAGACTATAAATCAGGATTTGGGGGGCATAATTCTTCACTATTCTGCACCTTGAATAGCTGTTTACCCCTGTCAAATGGAAAAAGCACAAAATCAGAATTCCCCAAAGGCCTCTTCCAGGTTTTAAGCAACTTACTGTGAGACACTGAGAAGGCCACTAAGAGCAAATTCTGTAGTAGCGACTGATTTTTGGGTACCTCCCTATTTGAGTCACCAATCTGAGACATGTTAGGGCAAATATCCAGACTTACTGTATATCCATAGCTCCAGAACTATGGATCCTCAATCCAGATGAAAAATCAAGCTTTAGTTTTCCAAAGTTGACAACTCAGAAATTGAGGCACTCCAAAAGTAGTAGTGACTTGTGAAAATGTTAACATTAATCTCTGTGCTACAAGTTACTTAAAGAACTGGGTATACTTATACTTATCTATCTAACTGAGGTGTATGAGGTTTAAAGGTCAGACTGTGAACCCCTAATGACTTAAAGGACAAACTACGAACTACTTCCACTGGTGTCATTGTCAATGAGTAGTCCTGCTGACTTCAGTAGCGCTCTTTGTCTGAGAATCTACCAATTAAAGCTGATTAAGTGATTTAACTATTTGCCCCTAAGTAATTAATAGGGCCATATTTTTCCATATTTAGCAGAGTGAAATGTTTAATGAAGGAAGGTGTCAAATGTACTACCAGGAGGTGTCTTAAATACTGTATGATAAAAAGGAACTATGAGCATTTACAAGAGAAAATGACAGCAGACCCAGATCTGTAAAATGCTAAATCGGGAACAGGCAGGTCATGGGCAGTGACCCACTAAAGTAATTGCTTTCAACTAAATATATTGCTGGAAGAACCATGGAAATGCAGATAAATATTTCAGTGTACCATAGTGGTTCCTGACCTTGGTTTGTTCTTTGGATTTTGGTTCTTATTCAGACCTCAAATTTCCATCCTGCTCTAACCATTTCTCAGGACTGCTCTCATCCTGGTTTCAGACAGTACCAAACCAGCTACGATTTTCTTCTCAAATTAAGCCATACAGGTATAATAGCATAAAAAGATTGTAATGCTTCAGGTTATAAGAAATTGTTGCTGGTTTGGAGATCAGGGTGGAAAAATGGTGAGCATCATTAGTGCAGTGGACTGAGCAAAAGAGTTGAAGTCCAAAAATTCTAGTCCCAGTTCTATGCTGGGCCGTATCCTGCTCAGTTTGAAGCTGTTTTGTGCTGTTAGTTCTATGCTAGCAATGTGAGCTTTCAGAACCGCCCCCCATTTCTATTTATTAAATTTCAAAATTCAACCCCACTTGATGAGGTCTATGTAACATACAAAATCATGATGACCTCTAGGAAGTAATGAAATGGGCAAAGCAAATGGGCCAATGTTGCATGGCACAGTTGGAGACTTGCATTAATTTTATGGGTTGGTATGAAATATTTCTGCCATTTTCTAAACGTTTTCCCTATTTGCATTCAATTCACAGTCCAACAAAAAGCTTGTTTTTCTCTGTTTTGCATCCCTTTCCCAATAGTGCAACTCCACTGATATCGGTAAAATCAGTCCCAACTTGTATAATGGAAGAATTTCAAGCCTGAGGTATTTTATGACTGTTATGAAAACATGCTACAGTATAGAATGTGTTACTTCTGTATATGTATAATCTACCTTACACAGTGTTTTATATCATGTAGCCTGATTTTTTAAATACTTGGCAAAATTAAACTCCTAAAGTAATAGTAAGTTTTCATATTTCTCTAAATTAATGATAATTAATGAAATTCCTTAAATCCAGAAAATTGACAAAGTTCTACTTAGTTGTTGGGTCAACATTAATCTGTTTAATCAAAATGTAATAGAAAACGTAGAAATCATCTTATACCTATATCTAAGTGGTAGTCATTCAGTGTATTGCAGTCATACATCTTCCTGCCCCCTGGAGTCCTAAGACAATAAACACTATTTGGAAAGCCACATTTCAGGGTCACCAGGGTTTTCAAAAAGGACACCTTTGTTGCAAGAAGATAAATACTCCCCATAATGGGTACTTTCTCTTGGCTTACACTATTGTATACATAGAAGGCCGGCTTGTCTTCTTCCTAAAATAAAAAAATAAAAATGATATAAGTACATTAGTATCTGTATTTTAGGAGTATTGTCTTTTCACATCTAGGGAATCTGTTGCACTTTTAGTTGAGTGTAATCTATCAGATAGGGTAGAAGACTGTTTTGTTACCAGCTCAGCTAACATCTGGCAGATTGAACTTTAACCAGTTATTAAGGGTCTTAACCTGTGAGTTAATGGCTGCTTCTTACAGGATGTTGAACACTTTGAGTTCTTATGTCATCCACAGATCTTTAGGGGATGTATCACTTCTCAGTATCCCATTGGAGTGGGTCCTGAATGCCTGTGCTCCAATTTATCCATCTATCAAATAATAATAATAATAATAATAATGTAAGGTGTAACTATTTTAGGTGTTTAAAATGCTTTAAGATCCCTAGATGAAAGTCAACAGTAGCTACATATTCTTTATAACATTTCCAGGACAAGATCCATCTCTTCTTTAGATCTTGTGCAGCACTTAATTTGCAGCCATTGCATAAAAATGAATTCTCCATACTGCTGTACCTCATAAATTTCAATTAAGTAGCATCAATAAGGGTAAGAGCAGAATCTGGTCCTACTAATGAAAATACTCTTTACTCCATAATAAGTATAAGAAGCCCTGAGGGGCAATATAGAGATATGCAGCAGGAA